GCTCGGCGGGTGTGCGGCCCCTCTTGTGCGGGTGGCCGGAGGCACCCGCTTCCCCCACAGCTGCCATCCTGGCTCCAAGAATTCTCTCCAGTACAAGACCGCCTTGCGGCAGTGTGGTGGCTTCATTGTACCAGTCTTGAGGAGGGCCAGTGGCCAGCATCCATCCTGGGTGAGGGAATCCACTCGTTCAGGCTGTGGAAACCTCATGGAGCTGCAGCAGCTGTTCGGCCGTGGCACAGGCTCTGGAGGGGGTTGCGGGGTGGGAGCCGCGAGACTCACCCATTTCTCCTTGGGAATCCTTGAATTCCTGTTGCTGAGCTTCAATCTTCACTGAGGGCCAGTCATAAACTTTTTAAGTGTTCAATTATCAATAAGCCGAAGTCTGGGGAAGGCCATAATGGCCCTGCTTTAAGTGGTTCGCTACTACCACAGCACACCACACTGTCTCTGCCTCTGCCGCCATCTTGGATCTCAAAGAGTGGCGTGTCAGGAGTGGTCAACATTTCTTAAACTGAAGGAACTTAAGAACAAATACAAGCCCTGAGTGGCATTACTTAATACTATGGGCAGAATATTGAATTATCCTGGAAGTACAACAAGAAGATGGAGGGAATATACAAAAAACAGTTGGCTGACCCAGAAGAATTTAAAGAAACAACATATGATCAAGAGGCAATAGTGATGAAGGAGGAAGTTCAAGCTGACTAACGGACAATGAACAGGCCCCAGGAATTGATAGAATACCATGTGACATATTTCAGCCAGCAGATGCTGCCCTGAGCGTGCTCACCAGGTTTGTGCCAAGAAATCTAGAGGATAAATACTTAGCCAACTGACTGAAAGAGATCCATTACTTATACTGATTAAAAAAATAAAAAGGTGTGGAAATTATTGAACAAAGGATGGAGGGATGGCATAGAAAAGGAAGACTGTGGATGAGATGGATTGATTTAGTGATTGGGTAATTGGAGTAAGGTGTATCAGAGCCAATGAAATTGGCTCAAGATACAGCAGTATTCAGAGATGTTGTACATAGGGTTGCTATGTGTTGCAAGTGACTTGATGGCACATAACTACAACATCACTTATATTACATGCAAGCAAAATCCTGCTGAAGATTATCCAATGTTCTGGAAAAGTACATTGACGGAGAACTGCCAGAAATGGAAGCTGGATTTAGAAGACACAGTGGCACTAGAAACATTGTAGTCAATATC